AAACGATTGTAAGGTTAGATACATGCTGTTGGGTAACAATATTTAAAATCTTGGGCGATTCTGAAACTTAAAATTTTTTAAAAATGAATTTTAAAATTCATATGTTTTGAGCTAAACTTCTTTCATTGACTTTCAGCATGTTTTTATTTGCATCTTCAGTGTATTTACATTCTAACCACTATTTAATCTCAATTGATTGGTAATTTGGTGGTGATCAGTGTCACGGTTGTCAAGTCCTTAATAGTGCAGATTGAATGCTATCGACCCTGCTGCAATGTGGCCACAAGTCTAGGTGACTCGACACTGCGTTCACTGTGTGTTAATCTACTAAGTTTTTGCATTCAAGTGACGATTGTTCAATCTCTTCGTTGTTGGAATTGGTAATCATCTAAAAATCGATATATAATTGAATTAACTTGATTTTAAATCAATGCTTGTAAGGTCATCTTCCTTACAATACTTTACTTCTCTCCCTTTTAATTGCTCATGGGGCTATCATTGAAATGTTATGCGTTAATCAATCGCTTTATTTAATGTATATTCACATTGAACTATAATAATTTATTGCCAGAACTTTTCTCCTTGATCAAAGTTTTCATAGTGAGGGTAAACTTTATATAAGATACTGCATGAGAAATAAATGTCAGGTTTATTGCCGTTACAGCGGTATCGATTAAACAAAAAAGCTAACACACAATTAACATTAATTTATTATAAAAAAATAAACATGTTTGTCATACGTTTCTCAAAAAAGTGTTTTCATACATCTTTCTGTGTCAGTGAGCTCAATATAAACAAAAGTTACTAGTTAATTTTCAATTTCATCTATTATTTATATTGTATACATTTTTATATCACCATTTGTTTAGTGACAAAATAAGTTGAGTATTTTTTTCTTATAAGTTAACTGAAGACATGTAGTAACAGATGAATAGGAATTTCGGAAAACCTCCACTTTCCTTGTAACCAAACGGAGTGAGATATTAAGCAGTAATTTGCTGATAACATTGAGTGATTTACTGAACTAAATATATTCTACTAACGGTAATATAAAATATACTGGGTTCATTATCTATAAGATTGTCTGTACACAATACTAAATAAACTTAGTTTAGAGAAAAATAGCTGCTCACAGCTTATTGACTTTCAATGATTTTTCAGTTGGTATCTGCTCGTGATGAAAAACATTTCTAATGTCCAAGAGTTATTCATCGTTTATAATCGTTTCTACGTATAAATATACTCATTTGAGGAAACACATGGTTTTCGTAAGTGAATGATGAATTGTGTGTTTGAATACCTTACCATAAAGCCACTGCACTGCTTCATGTATATCCTAGATTTCGAGACCTTGAGGTCTTTATTAGGAACATCGTTTAGGTATCTAGATCACTGTATGTATACATATGTGTATGTAATTATTTTTTGGCTAACTAATACTTATTTGTGACTATTTCTACTCGTGGGGGAGCATAGGCCGCCGACCAAAATTTTTCAGCCAACTCTTTCCTGGGCTCTGCTTTCCAGTTTTTCCCCAGTGCTATCCATTATTTTGATGTCTGCCCTTAATTGCCAGTGCAATATTTTAATCGATAAATTGAAAAATATTCTGAATTATAGAACGATAGATAGGTCAACCGTTTAAACATTAACATTGAAACATTTATATTCCGTCTTGCTTGGTTGAGATGATTTTCACGTGACACTTGAATTAATTCACCACTCAAATTTTCGGAGTTTTATTGTTCTAATAAATACTTTTTGGCAAACAACATAACAAATAATAATACCAAGAAGGTATTATAGAAAAATAACTAACAAATCTAAACTTTTATTTACTTATGAGTAAATCTAAAAATTGATAGAGTTATTTGAAGAAATATATACTACATAAAGGAAATATAGATTACTTAATTGTAGACACTTTAACAGTTAAATAAAGTTGGTTACCATTTCTAAATTGAATGAAAAGTTTGTCACTTGGTCGATCAATATTCATGTTATTTTGTGCCGTATTTTCATTAGGTACGCTACAGTAAAAAAAAAATCAATCTTGTACATGAGATGAAATTCCACATATTTAGTAAATAAATATTTCTTGTTCCTATAAAACCATCTTTTGAAAGATGTAGTTAAGATCATAACCAAAAGTATAAAAACAATGATTTTCAAAGTTTCGTTTGTTGTTCAAGATTCGGTTTTTAACAGATTTTATGTTATTTGTTGACATCCTTTACATTGTTTAACCAAATGACTGTTCCTCGTTTTAGTAAATAAAATCATACGAAAAAACCCCTTCATATTGTTAAAAGTCTATAAAAAGATTATCCGGAATATTTTCGACACAAGTGGCATTCATTATGATAAAATTTTGTCCAGATCTTGGAATGAACACTGTGATTCATATCTAGCATTTTAATCACATTTTTTGAAAAACTGAAAATCACGTATACAGTATAACTATATACATAGAGTGTATGTCAGTGACAAACACAACATTACTAATTTGTTCGTCTGTAACCTACGACTTACTTGTTCGTTAAGCCTGTCATTTTTTTCTCAAACAGCAAAATATTCTTTCTCTTAAATCTCTAAATGATATGTATTAAACTTTCAACCGATTTTATTGAACTATTAGGCTGGAGAAATTTATTTGTTGGTGTTTAGTGATTATCTTACTATCTCTAAATAGTAATCGTGATTACTATGTTTTAAAGGTAAGTTTTTCAAATCTTAAAGTCTTACTCACTAAAATGCTATCCCAAGTTTTGCGATCGCTGATATTGATTTTTCTGTTGTAGATAGTTTAAAATCCATCATACTATACGTACCCAAAACAACAGTGGGTTTATTTTTAGAACTTTTACTGAATTATGATGATGTAGGTAAACATTTTTACTTCAGTATAATTCTAGCAAATTACTACATTGTTTTTATGCACCTTTTTGTTGGATGTCATGTTGAAGATAATTATTACGTGGATACTCAAGTATTGAAGGTGTCTTCGATCACATACCTAAGATAACTGAGTTAAAAACGTCAAATTTAAAGGTATCAGTTATGTAATTTATTTCGTCTCACATTTATTCAAATAATTTATGCAGTAAGTTATCGATTGTTCTATCGGTGAAACGTAAATAGCGATCACATGATTCGAAATAAGCTCTTTTTCTACTCGGTTTTTTTTCAACAAAGTGGGTAGACATGACTTACAAAATTTTGTCGATGGTCTAAAGAGCACATGCTTTAATAAGTAATATATGTATTGTAAAACTGAATACAAAATTCTTCAGACAAATAAGCAACTCTAAAAACTACCCTAAAAAATAATAAAACCCTGAATTCAAAATGAATTCAAGTGTTTTCGGTGTTCAATTTAACTTAAAAGAACATTTTTTCATTGACTTACAATCAGAAAAATTACTGACATTGGAAAATTTAAGCACTGGATTTTGAAATAGTCAAGTCACTGTAACTGAGTGTCTTAGTTTCGATCCTGAATGAGGCTGGTATTTTAACGGTGAAGGTAGGATAAGTTTGATTGTAAATATTACTCTTACTACTTTATAATTTTCTTGGGATCAGTTAAGTATAGATGACGATTAATCTCTGTTTTCTCAAGAATTTAGGTTATGCTAACATTTCAAGTTTTTAAACAAACGAATCTCAATGTTAATTTTTCAGAACTTAATATCCGATGCACTATCGTTTGATAAAACTTTTCCTATTTGTTACCAAGTAAATTGAATTTCTTGCACCAATCACCCTCGTGTTTGGCGTTCAACCAAAGGATACTTTGTCGATTAGTCATTTAATTCACTGCTATTTTCAAAACAGCTGTTAACATACCTAGTTGTGTTCTGATAAGCTGTAAGATTTAGCAATTGCATCACAATGAACAAGGTTAGGAATAATCTAACATTCTTATGGAATGATTCTATCTAGGTTATTAATCGTTGAATCCAGGCTTTTTCGTGTCAAATAATTTTCTATTGCATAGTTCCCGAATAACTTGGGTGATAAATCTGTCAATCTCAGTCAATAGTCTGGACATCTCACATATTTTCGACTGGTTCAATTTTTCTTCTATTGTCTACCTCTAACATAATAAACAAAATGAGAACTGTAAAAATCGACGGACTTCAGCCTTAAAACGATCTTCAGTCTACTAATCATTATAACTAGCTCTACGGCTCATATCTAATATTTTTCGGTGCCTTATAAACATCTGTATGAGGAAAAGAATGGGTAAACATTATTTTTGCAGCGGAATTTACCACAGCCGTCTGCGAATTTAAATAATTCCATTGTAAGATTTAAATAAACATTCAGATTAAAAACTATTCTCACTGTTTACCTTTGGCTCAATTGAAAACCATGTATTTAAAATCCAGAAAAATTTGCTTCTTTCTCACAGTAAAATCTCGGTCTCTAAATGATGAACTGATCTTATAAATATATTTCCTACTGATGTCCGTTTACATTCAGTAATCTACGTTTTTAGGGATCGATTCAAAATTTTAATTGAGAAATTATTATGTAATCAGACTTACTGTATGTATTTGTCTATGTTATGATGACACTTTCCATCTCATTACATACTATCCATATAGCAACGTTTCGTTTAAAAGTTGTGATTATTTATCTGATCATTTTTGTTAAAAACATTGAAAACCGCATTTTTTTTCTTATTATTGTATGGTAGCTTATCCACTTGTGTCTACATGTGAGTAAATACGTGCATGGTTGATAAGTAAACCTTGGTAATTAGCACAAATAGTGCACACATCTATGTGATTAGACCTATGGACATGCACACTTAAATGGTAACAACATAGTAGTTCGGATGAAAAAGAGAGTACACACACTGATATATATATATATATATATATATATATATATATATATATATATATATATATATATATATATATATATATATATATATATATATAGTCAATAATTCATCATTTTATGTAAACTATTTTTATGGATATTTCATGGGATTAGCTGAGTCTAAGGTTTCTACATTTATATCCTCAACATCCACATCTGAATATAATAAATCTGTTGAAGAGGAATCTCAAGAACTATTTCTCAAAAATGGTGTAATCTGTGAGACAGAATTAGTCGACAGAAAATGCAATGATATATGTGATGACAATCAGGGTAATAATTCAATGAAGAAGCAGATTATTTCATGGAAAACAGTTGGCGCTACTAACAGACCAAGTAAAACGTATTATTTGGTCGATGATTCTTTTGAGTGTACACCATCTTCATCATTGAAGAATAACTCCAAAGTTGCCAGTGACAACAGTCATAATAATCAACCCAAAAAACAACTACCTATCAGTCAGTTAGTAAAACAACCTCCTGTGTCGAAAATCTCGCTTACTGATACTAACACTTATAATATGAATTTAAGCAATAACAAGTGTCAAGCCTTAACAAAAAATTTAACGAAAACTCCTCACTGCTTACAAACGTTCCCAGCAAACAGTAAGAAAATGTTTTGTTATCAAGTACTAATAAATATGTATGAAAATATTTTGGATAGGGATTTCGTTATTGACTATTGAGTATGGTCTGTTTTATTTATCTTGCGAATTAGCTAAATTGTTAAAACTTAGTGGAAATTTACTATTTGCAGGCTTTATGTTTATTAGCTTTCATTGGTCAGTAGGTATCTATGAATGTTACAACGACCAACTGATCATTACCTGGATTAAGTCGTATTGTAAGTAGATTTATGAAACGATATATTATATTACTTCAAAACGCTGGCAACATAATATTACTACTTTGTAAGCCACTTGACTGATATGGCTCTTAATGAGAAATCTTAATGTAATGGGTTCAATATAACATAAAGTCTTGAAAAAAACACTGATGAGTAGTCTAAAAATAAAATGAAATCATTGTCCAATGTTTGAAGATTTTAGCCAGGTATTAGTTGATGGTAAAAACATATCTAGATCGATGTAAAAGAAGCAAATTTATGTGATTAGGATGATGACATTTAGAACAATGTGTTCGTTCAATATCCTTCTTCATGATCTTCGATCCCTATAAAAGAAATATCTCATGCTATCCAGATGTTTATCAAAATATAGTATTCTTCTGATATTTTTGTCACCATTGAATTGTACAAATAAATAAGTGACAACATAAATCTAGAGAAAATATGACTCTAAACTATGTTCCTTGTTTGCTTAAAACTAAAGTAATGCTCATTTATAGTGATATCATTAAACTACTAGATATTTAAATTCACTTTCAGCTATAATCTTTTAGGCTAATATCTAATATCAAATCAAACTTCTCTGTTTAAAATAAATATTTGAATGAAATTCTCTGGATACATTGTATAATAAATCACATGTATTTGTTTTTTTACTAGGTCTAACTTTTTACGTTTCCTTTTATTAAGATTTATGAATGTGGTAACCAACAAAGTAGTTTAATTGACCACTTAAATTATAGTGAGAGAAATTCTGAATTATTCATCCGTATGTATAAGTAATCTGCAAAACATTCACTTTTTATGAAGTACACTTAATCTGAACACCAGTTTTCAATTCTCATTCTGTAAAAATGTTGCAAACTAACCTCAATATTCATCTTTTTCTGAATTTTGTGTATGAAGACGTAAAATGTAGTTAGATATCTAAGTGTTAAATCATTGAGTTGTACCATATTTGATCTACGAATTACGAAGTTATTCTGAAAAGAAACTGTTTAGTAAAGTCGTACGAACTCAGGATTTAATCATCATGATAGATTTTCAGTATCCCTAAAGTAATACTACTTAGTTTCGGAATTACGCATCGAAATGCACAGAAATCATACTTATGAATTCTTAACGAATATAGCAGTATTCTAAGGTAATTTTGGTTATATTTTGTTCGTTGGTAGCTAATCTAATAATATTTGACTTAGTTACCAAGACGTATAGGCTACTATAAGTCATGTCTAATGCAATATTAATGTCTTTAAAAAGCGCATGTTGCACTTAGAAAATAATTACAGTAGCCGGTACATTACATCAATGAATCTTGGTGATGATGAATTTGAACTTAACGTCTTCGCCATGAGAAATCGTTTCCACTTTAGTGCGAAAATTCTTCTCAAGTTTCAGTTTTATTATGAAAATATTGGATATTAAAAGAATCAATGAAGACATTCAATAAAATAGATGTCAGAGATTTGGAGTAGACATTTCTTTAAGATAGATAAACTATAGTTTGTTCATTCCTCTTTTATGACTGAGTTCATATTTATTATTGTTAAACTAAAATTCCAACTAATGATTATCAGTGATACAAACTGAGTAATGCAGAAGAAAGTATAAAACACATAAGCACCAATAAAATACTTAGATATTAATACAGCCTTACATTTTCTCTTAGGAGATTCAAGAAATTATTTTTTTATCGTTTGTACAATGTATTTTGTCCTAATGAAAAGGTGATTTTAAATTTATGGATGTCTACGAAAAATGTTAGTTCAATCTTATTAGTGATTCTAAATATCTCAAAAAGAAAGACCATTTCTTAACGGTCTTTCATACTTATCTGTTATGGATAAGTTTTTCAATCTATTCAATTTTCCGATAGTCACTTTCATCATATAATGAAATCAGATGAAACGTCATCAGAAAGTAAATAAGAAGCATAACTGTCTGTTCCTGATTTGTAAATTACTGGGAATACTCACAGTTACTACAAACGGTCTCGGGGAGAGCAAAACACTTTTGAGCCAATGACTTAGAATCTAGTATTTCTTTCCTCAATCCCAACCTGTTTGTAATATAGTGTTACCTTCATCCAGCGTGCTTTGAGAATTACTATTTTATTTACCAATACAATCACGTTACAATACAAATCGGAGTGTGTTAGTAGAAAATAATCATTTAATGAGCAAATTATAGAGGACGTGCAGCGGATATCGATCAGTATAATATGGATACAAAATGTTCTATTATTGTTTTTTACATTACTTTGATTAGTTTACTTATTTCTTAAAAAATACATTTATTAGAATGTTAGTAAAAATAAGATTCCAACAAACATTTCTTCTTCAGGCTGCAGGTGAAGTAGAAGATCGGAGTTAAAGTGATCGAATTTTCGTAACTAGTAATATTTTTAATGATTAAAATCATCTTTAGAATTGCAACATATATCTGAACCAAAAAAGTACCCTTATCCGTAGAAATTTTGAATTGATTTAAAGTACTTTAAATCTCTTATCAGCTTTTCTAATCATATGACACAACTATATTTCCGTGACCTGAAATATTTCTTTCTGGTAACGGAAGATACTGTGTTACCTACAAGAAAAATAATAGAACTGTTACTTTCTAAATTAATTTATCTTAAGACTTTAAGCACCGACAGATTCATGAATGTAGACAAGATGTTCTAAAGGTTTAGCTGATTACCAGTATACTTGTTACTAAAATAATGTAGGAATCACCCTAAAAATTTATTTGCTGTGAAATATGATCCAATTTACAATAATTTGAGCGGTTCTATGGAACAATGAACTAATAAAAATAACTAATCAAACGCCATTTAATCGTTACTCTTTCTTACTGATTTGGTGTGACTGGCACAAATTAGTTCAGGCTAAGTTCACAGTAAACAGACTAATTGGTGTTCAAAGCGTGGAAACAAATGTAAAGTTGTCAAAAAGTGTTTCGTTAAAAATTGACTAGTGTAGTCAATAAAAGTATGTGATAAGGACGAGCCAATCAGAATCGATAAGGTGTTTTATAAGTTTTTGCACACAATTCAATTATCACGTAACACAAACAGTAGGAATACTGCTCAGTATGTTCAAAATGATTGCGAAAAATTAGTTTTTCCCACCATAGAATCAAAAATATTGTGCTGAACATATCAAGTGCCTCTGCAGATTATATATAATAGGCAAATCAACCTTATTCAAAGTCCTAACCCTAAACCGTTGATCATAAAACAATCGTCAACCTGGTATCACTATATTTAATGGACGAATTAATCAGAGAACGATTGTAGCATTTTTGCATGAAATTCATTCATCTATTTAGATAAAGAGTATTTTTTTGCATTATAGATTATATCAGATTGTGACGAAAACCCTGACTCTAGGTCTCTAATCGTTATCCCAAATACATAACCCTAATCAGGAACAATATGAGGATTCTGAAAAATTTATTTGTATCCTTATAAGGCTTGGGGGAGATGAATAATCTATTTCCATGAAGACAAGGTTTTACGTCAGTGTTTCTTCATTGTACCGCCAGATTAACCTGTTGAAGACCTTAGTAGATTTAATAAATGCGTAAAATCTGTTTACACATAGTAGTATTACTGGGTTTTTTTATTATAAACTGTTCACCTGCGAAGCTTATTTTCACATAGCATGAGAATCCGTCATGGTCATCTTAAGTTCGTTCCTGTACTATACTATCTCCATACAATCTTAAAGAGCATGTTTCATCTTACTATTGATAATAAATAATGTACTTTGTGCTTTCGTTCCAAATGATATCATTTATGAATAGCAATCTTTGTCACTTTGTATCGCTGAGCTTGAAATCGGACATATTATACCTTTTAAATATTTCCAGACATAACGATTGGACGAATAGGCTTCAAATTTTACTCGAGATGTTTAAGTTGAATGATCAACATTTGCCAAATTTAGTCAGTCATCATTGTAGAATGACAATCAACCATCAGATATCGACCCATGTTTCTTATAACTTTGACTCCACTAGTTAGGATGATGGTTTACAGTTCAGGTTATTTATATATGAATCAACTGTCAGTCAACTATTTCATAATGCGTTAACTACTCATATGTCGATGATTTACGCCTTACATGAGGATCAATTGTGGGACATGACAGCTTTTTTACCGGCCTTTGATTCCTAGTGGTACATCAACCATCATTATTTTATTATTAAAATTATTATCAGAACTTGCGTTACATTCGATCTACATTCATCTAAAGGTTTTTTGGAGTATATCTTAAATGATTTGCCAAATTGTGAACGTCAGTTGCACATCAAAGTATGACTCAGTGCTTGTAAATATCTTAACAACCAAATAGTGTAAAACTAAAGTATTCTTAACCAACAAATATGATTTAGTTTTATATAATCTCTAGTACAACACAGTGATTTTCAGAATAGACTTTTGTTTTTCAATCCTAATTTCATACAATGTGCCCTTATGTGTGGTAGTAAAACAAGGTTTGACCTTTGACCGTTAAGAGATAATAAACACCCGTATGTGTAAAACTGTTAACTCGAAGAGAAATAACAATGACCTACGAAAGTAGGTCACTAAAAGATTATTTAACCCCTACGATGAGTTGGTCACATTGATAGAATGTGAAATATTTGCTTAGACATCTTGTAGACATTTGATGAACGATAACTATATAACCTTCGAAAATATTGTTAAATTATGTTTGCATTGTGAAACAGGTTGTAGTTATACAACTCGAAA